CCACCATGTGCTCACTTAATGTTTCATGAAGGGATTTTAACCCAGGGGGAAAATGGGGTTACAGTATTTACTGTCACTAAAAGTAATTTGGGCGGTGCAATAAAAATTGTTTGAGTTTTCACACAAAACCTGCTCCACGGGGCTTTAATATAAAGTCACCATTGGAAGTCTGAGTGATGCGGACAACAATTTAGAAAGTAACATCTGACATGCTTTGAGGGAAGGGGGATATGGACGCCCATGAAAAAAAAGCCCCTTCAAAACTGGAGGGATGTGGAATATGGGAGGAGTGATGGCATATCTTTTTATTATATTTTGAAATTGAACATGTATTCTTATTTAAGTCAAGTACACACGTATGTGTTTTTTTTTCCATGTTTAAGCCCCCATGTGACGATCAGTCCATGAAGTAGCCCTTTTGGTTAGACTGGGGCCGCGGGGGACGGGTGGGGGACGAGGGGGAGAACGAGGGGGAGAACGGTGGAGAACGGGTGGGGATAAAGTGGAAAAAGCTAAAAACGGGCGAAAACGGCAAGGAAGAGTTGGAAAATTTGACGTTCCCCCGGGCGAAAGGCTTAAAGTTGAGTTAACCCCTTTATTTTAAACCTTTTCATCTTTATAAACCCACTCAAACCCCGACTTTTTTCTCGTGAAGCTTCCCCATCATAAATTTAAACCCGTCACTGTTTGTTAAATCAAAAAACGGGGAAATTTTTTATTGTATAAAAAAAGCTGTATGCATTTTAAAAACTACATAGTTTTTTAAAATTCCCAAAATGTTGTTTTACATTTAAATAACTTTTAAAAGATGTTACCTTTTGGTGGGGGCTCAAAAAATTAATAATTCTTTAAATTATAATAATACCCCGGGGAAAAGGTAGAGACGGAGGAATCACTTCCCTTTTCTAAAATTCATTTAGTATGAAGACCAAAACCTTGCCCTTTTCTTGTGGGGACCAATTTAGCTATGTTAAAATACTTAACGAGCCATAGGCTTTTTTCTTGGGTATCCAGGACTTTTCTGAAAGGGAAAATACCAGATTTATTTTGGTGTATCTTGGGGAAAAATGTGTTGAAAGGAAGTCCCCATCAAAAACCTAAACTTTAAAAACCCCGCGTCACGTCACAAGTATTTGTAGTATATAGTATCCTCGTGTATGCATTTATAGTTTTTTTGTAGGTAGTGGTAATGTAGTAGTTAAAGGTTGTAGTAAGGCATGGTCGTGGGATTTCTTTTTAGCATTCATCTGAATAAAAATCCGGGGGAAAATTTTGGTTTTCATCCCTTCTTGACTTTGTCTGGTACCCCTGGGGGTTTTTTGGAGTAGTACAAGTGTAGTTGTTATTGAAAGGGGAGAAAACGATCAGGTGGAAAATGCTCAGATGATAAAAAAAAGGTTGTTTTAAAAAAAAAACGGGAAAAATCCTTTTAAAAGATAAATCTAATTTAGTTTAAAAAAATATGCACGAAAGCTAATTCAGAAAAGTCAGATTAAACAATTAAATGACTATTGAAACAAAAAATATCTAAATAGAAAGATAAATAACACAGCTGTTCTATTTTTTCCCCAGAAAGGGGAATTGTTTAAAAGGTGCATAGAAACATAATCTTTCATATTTCGTTGTCAAATTTTAAAAAAATTGCATTTTGAATTACATATAATTTTTCTGAGTTTTTTTTGGTTTTTCTGTACAAAAGTTGCTTTATATTTTACGTCAATATACAAAACAAAAATAATGAGAAACAGAAAAAGCGGGGCAGCAAAAAGCATCTTCCATGAAACAAAAAAAGAAAAAAAAAAAAAAAAAAAAAAAAAAAAAAAAGAAAAAGAAAAGAAAAGAAGAAGAAGAAGAAAGAAAAGAAGAAGAAAAGGGAAAAAGAAAAAAAAAAGAAAAGAAAAACAGAAAAAGGGGGAGTTGTAGGCGGAGGAGTAGAAGGGGAAGAGAAGAAGAAGAAGAAAAAAGCAGAAGAAGAAGAAGAAAAGAAAAAAGAAGAAAAGAAGAAAAGAAGAAGAAAAAGAAGAAAAAAGAAAAAGAAGGAAGAAAAAGAGGAAAAGGGAAAAGAAGAAGAAGAAAAAAGAAAAAAGAAAAAGAAGAAAAGAAGAAAAAAAAGAAGAAGAAGAAGAAGAGAAAGAAGAAGAAAAAAGAAAAAAAAAAAAAAGAAGAAAAGAAAAAGAAGAAGAAGAAAAAAGAAGAAAGAAAAGAAAAAAAGAAAAAAGAAGAAGAAGAAAAGAAGAAAAAAGAAAAAAGAAAAAAGAAAAAAAAAAAGAAAAAAAAAAGGGAAAAGAAGAAAAAAAAAAGGGAAAAAAGAAAAGAAAAAAGAGAAAAGAAAAGAAAAAAAAAAAGAAAAGAAAAAGAAGAAAAAGATGCAGGAAACCCCAAAAAAAGGGGGAAAAAAAGAAAAAGGGGGGGGGGAAAACCAAAAAAAAAAAAAGGGGAAAAAAAAAAAGAAAAAAAGAAGAAGAAAAAAACAGGGGCACAAGGGGGAAAAGAAAGAAGACTCATAAGAATAAGAAGACAAGCCGGATGCATAAGAAGAGCAAACGAAGACGAGGAAGATAAGAAAGAAGACGAAGAAGAAGAAGAAGAAGAAGAAGAAGACTAAGAGAGAAGAAGAAGAAGAAGAAGAAAATAGAGAAGAAGAGAAACAGTCATCAGCAGCAGGCAAATGCACGTATCCTTCGCGACTGCTTATCATGGTATTAATATTCAGTTATGCGGAGAAGGGCGTCCCGAACTGAGGACTTAATGTTAAAGAACTACAGCTGCCGAATTTCATGTTCCTATGTATTGCACTGTGCTGACTGTTGGCAAATCATGAGTTGCAGTTGCAGTCATTCGTGAACTCGAATTTATAGCTGGTTACGAAACAAAACAATTAGACTAGATTTGCCTATCTGGAATTCTGGCTAAGCGGAGGGAACTCAGTCGGTGAAATTGTCGTTACTGTGACATCTAGCGATCGTTTGAGAAATGATTAGACAGTGCAATTTTTTAAAGTTTTATTACATGGGCGTTGGACAAGTATCCATCAGCGTTGTCATCATCAACACCATAATCGTCATCATTTATCATCAGTTTTTACTTTGGCGTTAAGCGTTTTGGGGAGGAACAGTTGCGATCTATTGCTGTATGGGCAGGCAATTACTATTGTCATTCCGTGTCGATGTAGATAGAAACGCTTTAAGTCATTAATCCATGTTATCCTAGGGCGTCCTCTTGATTTTACTTAAGATATTTTACAACAAATGCTGGACATTGTGGGGATGGAAAGTGCTAAGAAAAAGACTTTCATTGATATAAGGAGTACGGAAGTAATGGTTATATCAAGGAAGAAGATAAACTCCACGTTGTGATATCTCAGTTGAAGGAAAAAGACTTAGCCAAGTAAATAAATTCAAATATCTGAGAACCATCAGTTGGAAAATGTGTGACAGAGATTAAAAGCAGAATAAGTCAAGTGAAAGCTGCATTTCAGAAAATAAAATTATCTTATGCAATAAATCGCTTTCATTCAATGTCAGATAAAGTACGCTAAAATGTTACATAGAACCTGATTTGCTGTATGACAGCGAATCTGGTTTCTAAGACGAATGTTACGAATAACTTGGTCGGCCAGAGTAACTAAGAACGATTGCTTTAAAGAAGCTTATGAAAGTAGATCTCTATATACAACAACAGGAAAAAAGAGACAGACACTGTTCTTTGGTCACATAATGAGAGAGAGAGACATTGGAGAATATCGTGACTGGAAAACTGGAAAGATCAATGGAAAAGGGGGTAGAGGGAGCCCAGGAGAGGGCGATGATGGATGGGCTGAAACGATGACATTGAGGGATATCTTCAAGAGAGCTGTCCCAGGCAACCAGGGATCGTGATCTGTGAGGACACATGAGCGCCTTGGCCAGTTGGCAGGGCACATGGTGATGATGTGTAAACTTAGTTAAATAGTCCTGAATAGGGCAAAAGAAAAAAAGAAAAACCAAGCAACGCTATTTTTGAGAAATTGTCAACGAACGGTTCCGGTGAATCATCGTATGATTAACGATTACACAGGGTTAATCGGTTACGGTGATAACGATTACTCAATCTGTCTTCAAACAACGACAGAACGGCGGTGTTCTGGTTATCGGACAGGGTATAGCTGAAACACCCACATTGAAACTACCTTTTCTCGTCTGATCAGCCAAGACAAGCAACGTCGGGTGTCGTTAGTGTTTAGATGGGTAGTATTTCAGGACCCTCGCCGGTGCTACAGAGCCTGTGCACTGTGCTGAGCTTCTTGGGACTTAGACTTGAGTTAGAAAGAAAAACGGAGCACTTTTTGGGTTACTACCCGTGTGAAATGATGTTGATCCGTTGTTCAAACCCTCAAAAACATTTTAAGGCTACTTGGAATTGTATGAAGGTATATGACCAACAGAACTGATTCAGAACACCCCCCACCCCCCCCCCCCCCCTTTCCCCCCTCCATCCTGAAGTATCAAGGTCTGTGGAAAAACATAAACGCTTACGGCCTCTGGCAGGGCAAGTGTTGACGACATTGAAAATGTTTGTGTGATGAGGATATAATGATTTTGTTGAAATGGTGATGATGAGTATATGGTGATGATGATAATGTGAAGATGATGGTGACGACAACAATGAAGATGATGATGTCCGTTCAAACTTACTTGAGGAAGTTCTGCAAATTTCCATACGGCACATACTCCATGACTAAAGCGATGGGTTCCGACATGGTGCAGGCTCCAATGAGACAGACTATGTTGGGATGGCTTCCAAGACGCTTCATCAAGTTGATTTCAGCGACCAGATCTTCCTTGTACGACATCGGGGCACCCTCTGGTTAATAAACATAATGACTTTGTACCATACGAGCATATATTCATTCACATGTACAGTTTGCTGTAGTTTACTGAAGTTAAAGTTACTTGCGTAGTCTTTACAGGGCATTGCAAAACCAACACTAGCATTTTTTAGCTGTTGTGGTTTTTCTATGGAAATTATACCTACAGTAGTTTGCCATTGCTCTCGGTACCACTGTCGAAACCAACGCAAGACAAACTGTCCGCATCTGGGATCGAACCTTGCACACCGGCATTACGAAGCTCGTTCGCAACGCTCAAGCCACAGACGCCGACAGTTTATTGGGGAAGGATGGGTCGTGCCGCCAGCGAACGAACGAACCAAATTTTTTTTAAATCAAAGGGTTACAAATTGGGCTCGTAGGCCCGTCCAACATTCCGCCCTTTCAAACATCAATCTTTCACACAGCAGTCGTATTTTATCACTAAAGCAGGTTATGTTTATATAGTAAATAATATGCATATTATGAATATCAATACTGCGGGCCGCACAGAGCCAGCAAAATCGTCTGGTTTGCGCCTGCCAAACCAGAGCTATGAATTCTGTTTCTTACGCGCTTATCCTTAAAAGGACAAGTTGTGGTGTGGTTTACAGCTAGGATGTGATATTCGTACCGATCGGCCCAACTCTTTTGATTTCACCGACCTTTAATTTTTCACCTTTTATGACACAAGTATTAAGGGGTTGTGAGGCTGATTTCTCCCATTAATGAAGCCTGATCTTGTCCGGGAAAGTAAAGGCGGCTGGCGTGGTGTTGACCTCATCGTCCACCGAAAGCCGAATAGTCTATAACAGTTTTAGTCTATCATCCGCTTCTCACTAAAATGGGTACCAGGGTGGACGTCCTGGGGAAGTAAAGACGGGCGGCATAATGATTACCCACCCAGTGCCGATTGGTCTGTAAAAATATGGGCGCTCTTCCCATATACCCGATATGCCTAAAGGCGTGTAAAGGGATCTTTACTTTTTAAACAAAAAATCTGTTTATCTTGTACAACCCGAGTCTTGTCTTTAAACCAAGTCTTTTTGGTTTCCATATTTGATTAGACATGGCAAAAGCTTGGTGTACTTTTGGGGAAAGGCGGGGGGGGGGGGGGGGGGGGGGGAGGTTGTTAGCATCACATCAGGAACAATACCAAAGAGACAAACACTGTTCTTTGGCCATATAATGAGAAGAGAGACATTGGAAAATATCGTGACAACTGGAAATATCAGTGGAAAAAGGGGCAAAGGCAGACTACGAGAGATGATGCTGGATGGGCTGAAACGATGGCATGGAGGGATTTCATCAAGAGAGCTGTTCCAGGCAACCAGGGATCGTGATCTGTGGAGATGCCTGAGCGCCTACGCCAGTTGGCAGGGCACATGATGACTATGTTGATGACATCAGGGGTGAATAATTTAACTGTTTGAACAGATATAACAGTGACATTTATAAGCTGATAATCTTGTAGAACCCGCGAATTATTTTAGAAGTTCATTTCCAAATAACCATTGCTAGTAAATAGGCCTGCTACCACCATCATCAGTCAGTTTGTCTTTTGAAAGTGTGTCTCTCTCTCTCGCCAGTTGTCCAGTATTAAATGCTTTCATAGCAAATGCACTTCACTTTCACGGCGGTCAACCTCTGCCTCGTTTTTCGGAATGTGTACCCTCCAACACCGTTTTCTCTGGTCAGTAATGAGGTTTAACAGTCGGTGTTTTCCCCACGACTGTTATAAAAATAAAATCGGCCACCTTCACAAGTGTATCAGTCACAGACATGAATGATACAGGAATTGAAGTGGATGTGTGGGAGCTGGTTGCCACAGAAAGTGGGGGGGGGGGGGGGGGGAGAGTTTGTGTTGAGTTGTGTGTGGGGGTGGGGAGGTTATGGGACAGTAGGTTGTGGGGGACAACAAGTGGTGGGGGGGGGGGGGGGTGTCAGGAAGGAGTACAGGTAAAGGAGACAATGAATTACAGATAGTATAAGAACTGAGTGCCTGGGGGGGGGGGGGGGGGAAGAGTTAAACAGACGCCGTGGCAAAATGGTTGAAAATCACATGCTCTAATTATGTGACATATCTTTAAAGCGAGGTGGTATTGTTAGGAACATTCATCACCTCCGTGGGCTCTGATTTCCCTTCCTATAGCACAATATAACACTATTGTATGGAAAGACTGAAAGGTAATAAAATAGAATAATTGTCTGTGACAGAATTCAGCTAGGATATTATATTAATTTGTAATAAGTTTTTTTTTTTTTTAAACCGAAAGGGTGAGTGTATATAGGCCGCGCATCAGGGGCGCTGGCACGAAAACAATTATTGAGGAGGGGGGGGGGGGGCGTTGAGCCTCTTATACTTCTCTTTAGATATGAATGGAGGGGCCTTAAGCCTTGTTTAAGTGCGCAGTTATCATAAACATAACATTTATTATTATTATTATTATTATTTTGTTGTGACGAACGACAAATAATTGAAATACTATATTTAAATGAGATAATGTGAAATATGTAAACATGTACTTAAAAAAGAACGTCTTAACGTCTTGGGGGGGGGGGGGGGGTGGGTGGGGGGGGGGGGGATTACCCACCTGCAAGATTTCTAAAGTTTTGTCTGCTCCTAACAATTTATTCAGATGGGCGCTCAACCCCAGATATAAAACGTTTTCAACGAAGGAACAACCTTTATTTTCAACGAGGAAACAAATTAGGCACGCAGGTCCGTCTTACACTCGGCCCTTCTAAGCACACATCTTTCACACAGCTCACAGCAGGAGTATCAAGGTGTCGATGCCTCCAAGTATCGGCGCTCCCTATCACGAATTAAGTTGCCGATCAGCGCGTGGGGCGTTTTTTTTCCCCTTCCTTTATTGAGAAACATTCAGCGATTCGCTTACAATGTCTGGCATTTTTCTTATGAATGTTCAGACACTTTGTTTGCTTGCAGAGCAACTGGGCTCGTACAGGGGTCTTAATCAGGTAAACTATCTGTAGCAAATAATCCGCTGGGCACCGGTCATCATTCCTGATAATGGAAATACTGGAGAATCAATAATGAAAGCAATTTGGGTGAGATGTATCTGAAAGCGCAATTATCGTACATGAATCTTCCTTGTCTGTTAACGTGTATTTGTACTGTTGATTGATCAGAATTCTCGAAGGTATTTCTCAACTGTTACAAATAGTATAACTTTGAAAAAAAAAAACACACACAGGAAAGTTTAGGAGACTGGGGAGAGAGAGAGAGAGAGAGAGAGAGAGAGAGAGAGAGAGAGAGAGAGAGAGAGAGAGAGAGAGAAATACAGACTGACAGAGTATAATGTGTTGATATTGTGAGAGGTGGAGATATTAAGTCTCTCTGACTCTTCACACACACACACACACAAACACTCACACACACTCAAAGACACACACTCACACACACACACACATAGAAAGAGAGAAAATGTATAATGTGTTGATGTTGTGAGAGGTTGAGATAACAATTATGTACACACACACACACACACACAGACACACACACACACACACACACACACACACACACACACACACACACACACACACAGAGTATAATTTGTTGATGTTATGAGATGTTAAGATCTCTAAACAAAGTAAGACAGACAGAAAGAAACAAATCGAGCGAGATAGATAGGTAGGTAGATAGGTAGGTAGATATGTAGGTAGGTAGATAGGTAAGTAGATAGGTAGGTAGATATGTAGGTAGATAGGTAGATAGGTAAGTAGATAGGTAGGTAGATAGTTATGTAGATAGATAGATAGATAGATAGATAGATAGATAGATAGATAGATAGATAGATAGATAGATAGATAGATAGATAGATAGATAGATAGATAGATAGATAGATAGATAGATAGATAGATAGATAGATAGATAGATAGATAGATAGATAGATAGATAGATAGATAGATAGATAGATAGATAGATAGATAGATAGATAGATAGATAGATAGATAGATAGATAGATAGATAGATAGATAGATAGATAGATAGATAGATAGATAGATAGATAGATAGATAGATAGATAGATAGATAGATAGATAGATAGATAGATAGATAGATAGATAGATAGATAGATAGATAGATAGATAGATAGATAGATAGATAGATAGATAGATAGATAGATAGATAGATAGATAGATAGATAGATAGATAGATAGATAGATAGATAGATAGATAGATAGATAGATAGATAGATAGATAGATAGATAGATAGATAGATAGATAGATAGATAGATAGATAGATAGATAGATAGATAGATACATAGATACATAGATAGATAGATAGATACATAGATAGACAGAAAGATACATAGATAGACAGAAAGATACATAGATAGACAGATAGATACATAGATAGACAGATAGATACATAGATAGACAGATAGATACATAGATAGATACATAGATACATAGATAGATACATAGATAGACAGATATATACATAGATAGACAGATATATACATAGATAGACAGATAGATACATAGATAGACAGATAAATAGATTGACAGGCAGATAAATAGATTGACAGGCATATAAATAGATTGACAGGCAGATAAACAGATTGACAGGCAGATAAACAGATTGATAGGCAGATAGATAGACAGATAAACATATAGATAGATAGTCTGATGGATAGAAAGAGATAGATGGATAGATAGATAGATAGATAGATAGATAGATAGATAGATAGATAGATAGATAGATAGATAGATAGATAGATAGATAGATAGATAGATAGATAGATAGATAGATAGATAGATAGATAGATAGACAGACAGACAGACAGACAGATAGACAGATAGACAGATAGACAGACAGACAGACAGACAGACAGACAGACAGACAGACAGACAGACAGATAGACAGATAGATAGATAGATAGATAGATAGATAGATAGATAGATAGATAGATAGATAGATAGATAGATAGATAGATAGATAGATAGATAGATAGATAGATAGATAG